ATCAAAATTCAATATCAATGAATTTCTTTCAGTCTAATTTCAATAATAAAAATAAATCTGTAACTAATAACAACATTCATTCATAAAAATTGCCTTTATAAAATTGTATATTTTCATACATATAAATTATTATATAAATAAATATATACAGTATAATCTCCAAATAGTGGACACTGTCAGAACCAAGAATCTTGTCCACTATTTAGAGGTACATGTGTTGGTGGCTATACTGTATACAGCCTCAGTATACTGCTAATCCATCATAATTCTTTTTCATATAATGAGAAATACAATGGATTACAAAAATATCAAATTTACTGAAAGGTTGAGTGAGATAACCGAGAAGTCCATTTGTAGAAACTTGGTCTTGGCAGTTCCTGAGCACTACCAGGGATGCAGGAATTAACTCCAAGACACCTGTGCCACAAGGAGAGACGTATTTACGCCCCCACTGTAACATCTGGGAAACAATACAAGGAATAGGCTCTCCTGTATAGTTGTAGAATGGGACTAGCAATATCTCATTGTATTGTTTGTGTGTAGAACTAAAGAGCCACTGGAATTTCTTGTTCAACCTAGCTTTTGTTGCTCGTGCAAAGTCCAAGGCAACACTGTAATTTTCTAAGCTGGCAATAGAGAGATGCCGAGTCACAGAATTTGGAAAAGCATAGATGGGACAACTTAAGCTCAACCTCTGCTAGGTACTTGCATTTGTTTCTGATTAGCTTTGAGAGGAGAGATTTTTCCACACCCAGTAGGACACAATGCAGACACAAAGGAAATGCATTGTAATTGAGGGTAATGCATTTGGGTATCACATTATGTCCTCTGCACTTTAAAAGAAAAATCAACTGGTCATGTAATTTATGCCACAATTTTTCCAACTTCAACATGGAATAGAACATCCACTTTCTAGTACTCATCTTGTTAAATAACGTAAAAACATAGCATGGACATCATGCCGACAAATGTACATAGACGAGGAGAATAACTCAACACAAAACAGCGTTAAATATCAAATTTTCATTAGGAATGTGAATATATCAAAAAGTATATGTAGCATATATAATTAAAATATATTAGTTATTTTTCAGCTGTAATAATCTTGTTCTAATTGAATCTCATTTGAATGTTGAGTTACGAAGGCAATTTGCTATCCACTTCAAGGGGTGGTAAATATATTCAGAATTGTTACATTTATAATCTCATTTATGATCTAAGTTACTAATAAAAATCGATACGTGAATTTGCCTGCTTTGTAGTTATCAAGTAGGTGTAACTTTTCAAACATCTTTGCTTTTTTCAGTATAAATTTTATGATTTATTAAAAATTATACTTTAGCTACCACAAAGTTGTTAAAATAGTTACAACAGCATTTGTTTGGTGAAAGTTCAAAGGTTGTGTTACAAAGGCAATTTGCTGACCACTTTAAAGTGTGGGAAGATATTCGGTTTTTCTCACTATCTATGATCTTAAGTTTTTTTTTCATTACTACCATACTATGGATTTGATGCCTACAGTCAAAATTCGTCATCTGAAAGAGTATTTGAATTGATTCTTTATTTTCATTTTAAAATATTTTATATGTAATTAATTCATTAGAAACATTGAAGGTGGGACATTGCATTTTCATAGGACTGGTTATGGATGACAGCATCCATTATTTAGAATGTCTGCTATTTAGAGGTAAATATAATAGACGTCCTATTTGAAGGGTCTGTGGAGTGTAAAAATCTGTTAAGTAGAGATGTCTGCTATTCAGGAGTATCCATTAATAGAGGTTTCACTATATATATGCAAAATAAATTAGCTAAGAGAATGCATGTATCCTGTTACATTGTAAGGACTCTACATCAATAGAATGAGCAGAATTGAATAATGTTTGATTTTTTTTTAATGTAAAATGTTTTATAATGTACTGTGTGATGCATAAATTTAACTTTGGATTGATTAATCGACAGAAAAGTTTGAAATGAGAATTACTTTTTGAAATGTAGTGAAGTCTTAAGCTTCATATGGAAGGATAAAATCATTATTCTTGACTTTTTTGCTTCATATTAGTGGTGTCAGTCTACCTTTAGAATGAGGAGATTCAAAAAGGCTACTCTAGCTATCAAAAGCTAGATTTGTGAAGTTCATAGCAACACACCAAAATCCAAAAAAGTAAGAAAAGTTCTATTTAGATTAGGAAATTAAGACTAAAATACAGGGAAAGTCATACTTTAGTTAAATCTGTATGACAGTTAAATAATCAATGTCTCTTACAGAAAATGATTTGACATAATTTTGTGCTCTTAATAATCTTCTGTTGCATTCTAAAATTATATAAATTGTAAAATAAGCTTTAGTTTTATTCTTTTATACATAAACTGTATAAACTCAGAAGAAACTTCTGAAATTTTTCAAAACTAAATGAACACCAATAGCAAAACATATAAACTAAAGTATCACATCCTTTGCAAAGGAAACTATAAACGAATATATATTCCTTTAATGTCTGTTTAAACTTTTGTTTATAACACTGATTCTGATTTACAAGTTGTTATTTATATTGTAGTTTCTTGCTTTGTATAAGTTTCATTCTAATTTAATCATAAATTGGAAATATGATAGCAAAAAAAGGGTTTACATATATAAACATAACTTACATAATTTGCTTGTAATTATGGTATCAAGAAATTGAGTATCTGATGCAATTTTATAATTTAAATCTTCTTTAGCATAGTTCTTTACAATTTTCTCTTTATACCATATTTTATGGCATATCAGATGCACAGGCATATAAGACATACAATAGACCCCCTATAACGTGGTTCCTATAACGGAGATTCCTATAATGTGGCAAAAAAACTGCAACAGTATTCGTATAAAGACGCTAAAAGGGACTCGTAAAACGTCGTCACCGACTCGTGTCGCGACAGGATTGCTCGAATCTGGACTAATAGTAGACGAGCAGCCGAACTACTTACACGCTACAGAGAGTTTAGGCGAGTAAGTTGAGTTTACTATTGTCTGTACAGTATCTATATATATAAAAATGAATGTGTGTGTGTGTGTCCTTCATGCATTACCACACCGTTTATCCGATTGCCATGAAGCTTTGGGAAGTTTTTTAATACATTCCCGCGAAAGTTTCTGGCATTTACCCTACGATAGATGGCGCATGTTTACACAAGCATTCGAGCACAGTGTGTTCGATCGATTTCAAATTGTGAAGACCATTTCCCCCCTCCAAAAAATATCTCTATATATGCATTTATTATTTACGATATTTGTAATAATTTTTGTTTAATCACTTTATTTCAACTTTTTTTTGCTAATTACGTAATCGCTCGAACTTTGTTAAAGCCTTAACTGTATCATGAACAACAACCGAAGTTGTAGAAGGAAATTCGCCTATTTTACCGATCTAGGGATCCCCCTTTTCCAAATTTTAATATCAACTCAAAATAAATTAAAAAGACAAATTACAATAAAACGGTTTATTATCCAACTATGAGAAATTTCACAACACGCCAAGGAAGAGAGGAAAAAGCAATTAAATAATCGAAATTATGAAGGATTAAAAAAAATATATAAAAATGGGGAATATCGCACTTCTAACAATCTCTGCGAGTATGTGGGCTAAGTTTAAAGAATCTGTGCTTCTCGCTTGGACAACTGTATGTGGCCAACTCACGCGTCGGAAAACCTTTTGATTTATTTGTGTATGCACCAGATGGAAAAACAAAAAATATCGTGTATCCACAAAGCACTCCAATAAATAAATAAAATTGAAATGACACTTTGAAATGTTTCCCGATGAAAATGAATAATAATAATAAGTTTCAATAAAAATGATAAAATGTAAATTTAATTTTATCATAACGAGTTTGCTTGAATTTTCTTTCTTCTGAGATCGCAGCAATGCGCGACGGGTAAGCTATAAATTATAAAGTATAAATTAGGTACTGTATATATAATTATATATTAACTTAATTTATTTTAACTTTATTATAATTATATATATACCTTCCGCCGTCCAGCGCCATGCTACGGAGAGTTTAGTCAAGTAAGATAAGTTTACTATCGTCCGTACAGTATGTAAATTAGGTACCATAAGTCTAATACAGTGCTGTAATTTTATACATTTCTTGTGAAAGAAACATTTCTTATTCAACGGCCATAAAAATTATTTATATTAATGATGTGTCGAAAGGTCAACAAATTTTTCACAAAAAAATAACTTATCAGAAATTGCGGCCGCTGTTTGGTGCACTGCTCCGCAACGAAAACAAGCTTGAGCAATGGTGATGTCAAACAGTGCACATTTGGTAAGTAATCCTACAATTTTTTGTTTATAGCATAGTTTATACGGATTATTCTCAAAAAATTATACGTGTTTTGGAAATGTTGAGTCGAATTAGTCTAGAATCGATTAATTTTATGGAAGAAAACCTTTCAAACAGCTGTAGTCAGTAAACTTCACATGTGTCGGGCTGTGATTGGCTCATGTATTTAAGGTTTCCTACAACGTGACATTCGTATAATGTGGAACATATCTACACGTTATAGGGGGTCTATTGTACTCCCATTTTAGCACTAAATATTTAAGAAAAACTATTTACTGTATTTAAACCATCCTATGCCCATTTAAATTCAACTTTTTCCCTGTATACCAGTTAAAAAAATTAGAATGCCAGGAAAAAAAAAGTTTAAAATAAATACTTTACAGTTAAAATTTACCATTAAAATATTCTACACAAATTCATGCAAAAGCTGCTTAGTTATAGAAAAAAAACAATAATAAGGTTAATTAAATGATAACATTTTTATTCAAGAGTTGGACTAGATATTAATTTTCCTATGCAAAATTGCAACTCCAAATATAAGACACAGGCTAACTTTCTGAACTTTCTTTTCAACAAAAGTTGTCTTATATGCTGTAAAATAGTTGTCTTCTCAATATAATTATATAATAATTATCTATAATTAATTTCATAATAAAATGTTTACTTACAACTTCCTCAACTGTGTAGAAGCCACTAGCAGTTCTTCCACCTTCAATGTAAGTAATTTCAGATCCAAATAAATCCAAAAATTCTTCACTTTCTTCATTTTGTTCTTCTCTAATTGTACGACATTGAGCACCCAGGAAATTTCGTAAATTGACAGCATGAATTGCTGAACATGCTTTCTTATCTAACTGTATAAAAGTAATCATCACCAATTAGTAAATAAAAAAATAAATAATAAAAAGATAGAAAATTTCTTGTATCAAGATGTCCCATACTAGTTGTGCAGAATTATAAAACTTCTATAAAAAAAAAACTTTGTTAAAATGTTTTTTATAAGCTCTTCAAGATATTTTGAAACAGAAATAGGATTATTGTTTACTGAAAAATGACACATTTATTTTATGATATATTATTACAAACTTTAGATCAGTGTTGTACAAGAGAAATGTATATTCAAAAAATACTGTACTAATTCAGAAATTTTAATAAACTGTTGTGTACCAATCTTCACTTTTTGAAATATTCTATACATTACTTACAATAAATATGGCATTTCTTTTAATAAAATATATTAAATATTTCAGTTTAAGGAATGAAGGAAATTAATATATATTTTGATTTATAAATTCAATGTTTTTACATATTTAGCTCAGTAAAAGACATATTAATGTTAAATGTTAACTTACATGACAAATAAACAACTTTAAAAATGCATTAGAATATTAAATAAAATTATAACAAGAAAAATTTATTTTGATAAATCAACTTTAGTATATAATAAAAATTAGTTCATAAAAAATATTTAAAATGTTGTAGAAATAATTTTAGAATGAATATCAAAATCAGAAAGCAGCAGTTGAATAGTAAATGATGTTACAAAATGACTCCAAATGAAAAAAGATGCCAACAACAACCTGGCCTATTGTCTGTCATTTAATGAGTTGATGAGGAAACTAAACTCTGAATATTTAATAAAGAATAGTAAATATAAAAATCTATTCTCAATGTTAAAGCTAGGATTACAAAATCTTAACAAATTTCACATAATTTATGATATGATGTTCAGTTAATATAAACAAGAAAAACCTGAAGGTATCAATTTGAGACAAAACAAAGACAAACATCACATTAAATGAAGAAAACCCAGAAAGAAATGGCTACATATACATTCCTCTGAAGCTGAACAACAAATGACAAAAATGTTATTTCAAAATAAAGAATAGAATTAACAGTGCAGAAATATTTTCACATTTAGACAAAATACTAACATAAATCTGAAAATAGAAATAAAATCTATGACTTGGAATATATAAATATATACCTTCAAACCACGTACAATACAATAAAAAAATATTAAGAAAACTGATGCCACAAGAAATGTGAATAATAAGATGGGAAGAATTGATGGACAGATGGACTGTAAAGCAAAGATGCTCTGAATAGATTTAAAACAGAAGAATTTGATGAAGAAAAATAATGAAAAGAAAGACTTTTATGATGGACACATTACCTGAGGATCTTCAGGACTGATCTTGAGAGTGGTTCTTCAGGGAAAAATGGAGAAGAAGAGGAGGTAGAGGAAAACTATAAATGAAATGGGAGAATAACATCAGCAATTAGACCAAAACAAGATTAGCTGAAGCTGCAATGGACAGTGATTTGGAGAAAGATTTATCAGCTGCAACTCTCTGAACAAATGGATGCCATGGAATGGAACAGAAGAATTAGTTATTGTTAGTTATTCAATGGATTCATTTATTAATTTTAACAATAAAAATATGATTTAATTTAATTTCAATTAGTCCAATTTAATTACATAATAATTTAATTCATTTCTATCAAATTATTTCAACAAATTTCAATTGTGTTAATTTTTATTGTTATCCATGGTCATTTTTTTACTATAAATTTTGAAAACATTACAACAATTTGTAGAAAAATGAACTATTTTTCTATTTTTACATATTACAGATGAAAAGGAAAATTTGAAACTTGAAAAATTTGAAAGTTAAAAACTGATATGGACTTTTTAAAATATAGTACTATGTACTAAGAAAAAGCATAGTATGATTTTTTGTAGTATATAGTACACAGTCCTATATCTGATTCTAACAGAAACATTTCAATTAAATTCACATAGATTTAAGATCTATTACATGCTGGATTAGAATTGTGCAACAGAGTAGTATCTGAAGTTTTTTCACATAGTTTCTTAGCAAAAGACAACACTGCATAACAAACTGATATTTATTACAGAAAAATAATATTCAATACAATGAATGCTTTTGAATAAATACAACTTTTATATAAATATGTAAGCTTTTGTTTATTAATAATTTTGCTTATTCTNAATATATTTTGTTTTACAATTATTATTATTATAATGCAAATGATTTATAAAATTGATCTACATAATGATTTATTCTGTACAAATTGGAGTAGAAATAATTTCAAAAGACAAAATGCTGAATTTTCAGAATAGCAGACAAAATTTTTAAAATTTTCAAAAAACTGAATTGTAAAATATCAAAAGCTAAATGACAAATTTCAAATATTGATACTATTCATTATCTACTTGATACAAAATATCTATCTAAAATATTTGGCCTATTAGATGGTATCCAAGCTGATATAAGAGAAGTGTCTTCAGAATGTCATTTTATAGCTTTGAGTTCATAAAACTAATATGTTTAAAAATTTAGACAGTTGCATGTTAGGTTGCAGGGTTTACAGCAGTTTGTCATTGTAAATTTTCATGAATTTTCAATGTTATCAAAAATTAATATTGTTAGATTTAAAGCTTATTTTATACTTAGGGCAAAATTATTAAGTTCATAACATAGTAATAATATCAAATTCTTTGTAAAATTGATGAAATAAAGTAAATTGCGACCGCACACCAATCAATGTTGATATTGTCATTAAGTCAAATTTGACATAATATATAATCCTGACTATATTGATCAAATATCAATGTTAACTTAGAAATTTATCCCGAGTAACTTTAGACTCAATCCACACTACCAACCTGATCATGGTCCAGTCAAATATTTATATTTATCAATTATGTCCAATGTACAGTATATATTTACACTAGGAATAATGTCAAGTCTTGGTCTGTCTGGTACATTGGATAAATATTTGACAGGATTGCAAATGGGCTTGGTGGTGTGAATTGGTTCTTAATAGTAAGAGTCAATAATGAGGCAGTTGATTATCTGCAAGACAAAAATAACAAATTAATTTATTTAATTTAAAATATATGCTCTCCATCATAAATTAGTACTGTAGTGTCTTGCCCCTGTACATATTTTTCCCTTAGCAATGGAGTTATGCCAGTCATCTATCTAACTCCTTTCAGGGAAAGTTTTGAATTAAACTAACATGACTTCAGGTTTGCATTGGAAGTTCATACATATTTAATCAGTGCCTCTTGCCTCTAAGATTTACATATCAGGTCTTGACTTTCATGTATCTAACTCTGTTCTTGAGATTAAGGAATGACAGATAGATGGATGGACAATGGTGGGAATTTATAGGCCTACAATTTTTTCAAATTGCAGTCCAAAAAACCTCAGCTAATCAACAGAAACTATTTCCCACAGGACAAAAGTGTACAAACTGACACAGAGAAGTTTATAATGTTAATTTCTATTTTATCTAAATTAAATTTACAGAATAAAAAATCTAGACACAGTTGACCATATGATCTATCATTGTCCAATTTACGATCGAGATAAAACTTATTCTGAAATTAGAAATCTTTATGCTTGATTTCAGGTGGCCATGTCCACTTGATAAGCTTGTTCAGAAGCCATTGTTTGATGCTTTTTACAATTATGTTCAAAAAATATGGAAGAAAAGACTATAATTTATAATTTCACATTTTAGTTTTCACTAAAAGCCAAATACTAATTTTATGTTTACTTTGTATCATGTATTTTGGTTTATGTACAGTACTCTTAGTGTTATACTCCCATAGAAGTGGTGCACTTATTCTAATAAAAAAAAAAAATTACAGATTAGTGCAAATTGGTTCCTTTACAATAGCACAGGTCATCAAAAAAACACTGTCCTATAAGCCAAAAATTATTTCTTTGAAGAGGTTCACTGACAGCCTGATAAGCACAGGACTCTGAGCTAACTAATCCATTTAGAAAATATTCTGTTTCTGATGAAACTCAGTTCCAAATGCATTATTTGGTTTGATGATGCTATATGCATCAGAAAACTCCTAATTTTTCAATGATGAATTTCATTCATTATTCTAATTATTTCATTATGGTATATAATACAAACAATTAAAAATCAATACTTATGAAGTTCTATTTCTTTAAAACAATCAACTGCTTTAAATATGGTCTATAATATTCAATCACATTTACTAGCCAAACAAAATTTCATAAACTAATTAAATATGTAAGGATTTGACTTATATTTAAAATAAACATCTGAACTGTTAATTTTAAATTTCATTTAACATTTAAACAAACCAATAGCATAGATTATATATATAAAAGAATAAACAAATAAGTGTTATTAAAAATTAATGAATGTATTAAATATTAAATATACAGACCAACTTACTTTAATGATGTATTTTTATCATCATCCTTATTTTGATCATTATTTTTATCCTTAGCTATATCACTCATTCCTTTTAATATTTTGGCTTGGTCACTATCTGCTTCGCCTTCTTTCCGTCGTCTTAATCGCATTTTTCTTGCAATTGGATCTTTGCTATGTGCTATGTTTATTAAAAATAATACATTTATTTTAAAAATATCATATACAAATTTTCATATTATAGTTAATACATAAAGAACTTATTATCATTTGGGATAACATTCTATAGAATTAAACTACTTGATTAAAATAAATCATAATGATAATTTTTGTGTTATTAATTTATTATATAGTTTTTTAAAATAAACACTGCATGCTATATAAACAATTGTTTAACAACAACAAACTATATAGATGTGTTAAATTATAAATTTTTTTTTTTTGGTCTATAAACAATCATTCACTATTATCACTATTATATAGATATAGAATTATTCACTATTATATAGATATGTGTGTGTGTCATTCTAATAAATTATTTAATTGCTAAGTGATGGTATAATATATTTTATTCCTGCAAATCATTAATATTCAGTAAATATTTAGCATTAAAAGAGTTTTGTGAATTTGAAATTGCTTAGTAAACTTTTTTCAATGAGAAAGTTCCATCTCTGTACCTCATATATGAGTCCAAGAATAGTAAACTTTTATATATGCATGCAAATAAGCATTGTTAATTTTACAAAATTATGCACATCAAAACTTTGGAGTTCAAACTATGTCTAAAAAAATAAAATAAACTTCAGTTTGAATAATTTAAAAAAGCTGATTAAAAAAATGACAAGAAACTAAACTAAATATAACCAGAATAAAAAAAAACTAAAATTAATACAAACTGGACTTAATTGTCTTTTTTGATGTTATTTGTGTATCATTTACTTCATTAAAATAATGGTTACATTATTAGAATAATTGTTTTAAATTTCTTTTTAATATTTCATGTTGAAATGTTATAAAAATATTGCAGTTATTGGTTATTATTGAAAAATTTTATCAGTGTTCTCTCCAAGTTGGTCAATCAGCTAAATATTTCTTCCAACTAGTTAAATGAAAATGAAATTACAGTAGAGCATCAATTATCCAAATCAATTGGGGACTGGGGTTGTTTAGAAAATTGATTTTTCAGATAACCAATTATGTACGAAAAAATATATTAACCTATCCCATGTTGAAATTCATTCAAATCCTGGCACTTATGAGAGGGTCCTTAAGTACCCTCTCATGTTCGTGCCAGTGCTGCCAGCTAAAACATGCACACCAACAAAAATAATATTGGAGTAGCCCAGACATAGCCAAAGATTGCAGCGCCACAGCACTAACAGAAATTTAAATTTGCCGATTGGCTTTTGGTTAATTGACGTTTCGGTTTATCAATATTTGGATAAGCGATGCTCTACTGTAATTAAAAAATTAATTTTTTCTTAGTATTTTTTAAAAAGATAACTATACCAAGAATTAATATGCTGTTGCATATTTTAGTATTGTTTTGTCATTAATAACTGAGATTTGTAGAGAAAACTGCACACATTATCTGTACAGGAATCCTATTTTTGTTTATATTAAATAGTCCCTTATTAAATTAATTTCAATATATTAATATATCCTTTCACACGCTTTGTAGAGGCAATATATTAATATATCCAAATATAATAAAATACTGACAAAAATTCATCTAAATATTTTAAATTTTTATATAATTTTTTTAAAATTATTTTTTAATTATAAAGTAAAAACATACCGGGAGTTGATACTGGAGTAACAGGAGCTGCACCAGCTAATCTCAACTGATTATTCAGTGAAAAATCAATATTATAAAACTCCATTCCACTGCCTTTCAATAGTTCATGAGGTTTAGGAGGCATAATAAGGTCAGGATTGTCCTTTAAATCTAAAACTTCTAAATCAGTCAGTAGATGTATTGCTTCTGGTAAAGTTATCAGTCGGTTGTGAGAGAGTACAAGTTTCTTAAGTCTACCACATCTTTTTCCATTTGTCAAAATTGTTATATAAAATAGTAAAACAAAAAGGAATAAATTAAATTAAAATACATAAATATATAAACTCAAAACCTTACATATATATTTATGAACATAATACATATTTTATATCATTCATGTATTTTAACAAGCCATTAAAAAATTTTATAGTATACTGAAATCAATTTACCTACACAGTAAAATTCAAATTCCTACCTAGTTATATCAAATCCAGCTTAATAATTTTTCGGCCTATTAACAATTTTAATATTTAAATACAGTTAAGAATCTTGAAATTAACCCAAAATCCAACTTTTTTTCATGATATAGAAATCTTCTCATAAAATTTAAATTACTTTCTAAATAAATCACAACTGCTAATTTTACATGATGTAATCTATTCATCTATTTCTTATGAAAATAAAGTCTATTGACAGTAAATATAGCAATTAGATAAATATTAATTATTTTTTTCATTTATAATAATATACAGTAGACCTCCCTATAAAATGGGTTCATATAATGCGGATTCGTATATCATGGCAAAAAAATTGCGACCGTATTCATATAAAGACACTAAAAGAAACTCGTAAAATGTGGTAAAACGTCATCGCCGACTCGTGTCGCGACAGGATTGGTTGAATCTAGACCAATAGCGGATATTGCACAAACCGTTGAGTTTAAACGAGCAGCGGACCTACTAAAAACCATTTATTATTTAATGTCCATAAAAATTATATTTATATTAATGATATCTCCAAAGTTCAGCGAATTTTTCACAAAAATAATTTATCAGGAAACACGCACCTGCCATTCGATGCGCCGCTCCACAATGAAAACAAGCTTAAGCAATGGTGTCGTTGAGTAAGTAATCCTACAATTTTTTGTTTATAGCACAGTTTATATGGATTTTTCCCAAAAAATTATATTTATATGTGTTTTGGAAATGTTGAGTCAAATTAGTCTAGAATCGATTAATTTTATGGAAGAAAACCTTTCAAACAGCTGTAGTCCGTAAACTGCATACATGCCAGGCTGTGATTGGCTCGTGTATTTAAGGACTCGTAGAACATGAATTTCATAAAAAGTGGAACGTATCTACAGTGTTATGGGGGGTTGACTTTAATTTATTTGAAGAATATCAAAAATATTTTATATTTTAATCATGTTTTTCAAATATAAATTTTGTTAATTATCATCAGACATTGAATTTTATCAGAATTTGCATGTCCAAAATATAAGTTAAAATTCACTTATAAAACAGTATATTGTTATCACTTCAGCTACAGTTTTCACTATCTTCAAATAAATAAGCACTTTTAAACCATATTTTCATGTTACCAGGCTCAACATGTGACTGATAATGTTCTATCAATCATGTTCAGTCTTAATCAGTTCTTTAAAATGATTAACATTTAATATGTAATCATTATTTGCTCACAGTGTAGTAATTTAAATTTCTGACAGTTTTTATTTCATTATATGCTAGTTGTTGTTAAAAACAGTACTGCAAAAAGTGCAGGCAAACAATACTGACTAAATTATTTATTAAATTAATAAATATTCAAATTATATAGTTTTTAATTTTCGTTACCTCCATTTAATGCCAGAGATAATAAAACCAAAATTTCCACTAATTGTCATCTTATTTACCCACACTTAATGTTTTGATTTAGTTATTATCAATACATGTAAATTACTATGTGATTACAATAAGTAAATTCTACTAAACATACTAATTCAAACCTTACTTCTCATTAAAACCACAAATGTATTAATTAATCAGTATTATTACTGTATATACTTTATATTCAATTTTCAATATAAACATTTATTTCAAAATTTTCATCATTTCATTTTAATTATGTATAGTTTCTAATTAATGATAAATTGTAATATCTAGCAAATTTAGAAATACATCAGTGAATAAAAAATAAGTAAAACCTAAATCTGTACATCTGAAAATTTATATACAATAACTTATATATTACCTGACAACTCCTTCTGGAATCATTTCTAAATTGTTATTTGCAGCCATAAATACTTCAAGATTGTGCAATTTACCAATTCCAGATGGTATTCCTTCAAAATCTAAATTATTGTCATTTATATATAATCTTCTTAGTTTTGTTAGCCTACATAAAGTAGCCTGTAAATAAAAATTTGTAAATAATTCNAAAGATTTTCAAAATATAAAATATTTTGTTATAAACTTAAAATATTAGTTTGCAATTATAACAAATTATTTTATGTTAAAGATAAATTTTGTCAGAACTGCAAATTATTAAAGTAAACAGCTTTAATAAGTAGAACATACACATCAGTTTTATCTGAAACTGAAATTATTTTTCTTGATTAAACATTCTTTTATTGTCAGATTGCAAAAGAATAAAATAGCAAAATAAAATAATTTTCTTATAAAAGTGTTTTGTTACAACCAGAAAAACTCATGAAGATGGTATTATTTATTTATTTTATTTAGATTCTGAAATGATATGATTGACATGAAATATTGATTTGTTCTATCTATAACTGTCATGTATGATAATGGTAAGTTCACAAATATTTTCTAAATTGTCATTTCAAGAATTCACATCTATTCTACTCCTATTCCAATATTCTTTCTATGTTTGTCATGAAACATTTGTTCTACAAAGTAACTCCAATTATTATTTAAGTAATTTGAGTAAAACAAAACCAAATAAAAATTTATTTATTATTTCAAATTAATAAATTAAAACAAATTTAATATAATTTATTTTTGATTATAATAACCTTTATTTTTAATCAAGATATTTTAATTAGTTAAAATTATTCCAAATTATGTTAATGAGATTTTCTGATACACATAACTAATAAAAAATTTAAGAATTTCAATTAATATATACTTACACTTGCTTGGGAACCAATCCAATAATATATTTGCCAACTCAAACTCTGACTCTCATCTAAGAATGTCTTAAGTATGATGTAGCAATCACCTTCATAAAATTTTCCAATGAAAGCTACAAAAAGTAATAAGATATAAGTAAAATATGTTTTTAAAAATAAAATGTCAATCAATTTTCATACCTTCATCTACTTGATTAGGAAGAAAATTTTCTATTTCCCAACACATAATACCTACAAAATATGGCAATTTGAAAAAGTACAATTTATATATAATTATTTGTAATATAAATATGTAAGAAACCTAGTCAAAATAATAATAATCAAATAATATGTGACCTATATTGTTATATCTTGTAAATTAATTTGTCTGAAAGTGAAAATAGGAGAGAGATCAGGCTAATGGAATGTGCATCTGTATGATAAGCAAAATTTGTTGATCCAAGTCTGCTTCAGATCAATCTTTTTTCCCAGTATAATCTAAATTAATTTCTTTCTTTCTAATTATTAAATTTAATACAAGATAATGCTATAACCATCTACTTTTAATCCAAATAGTATATATATATAATCAATTAGTCAAGTTCTACCTTTATAGTTAATCTAGCTCTATCATTTGATTATTAATATTTGTAATGAGTATAATAATATAAACTTCCTAGAAATTTAATAAATACAATGTTACAAGAGATTACTTAATTGTTGTTTAGAATAATTATGGATTCATAAGACACTCTTAAAATTGTGAATTTCCATTTTTCAATCTGGAAAATTTCTTTTTAATAAGCAAGATGACATTGAGAATCAATTAATCTTTGGATTACTGAACTAAATATCTTTCAGTTTTACTGACTGGGTACAATTTGTACTCAATGCTTTTATTTATAATCACATTAAGTTATTTTATAACTGTAGCAGTCAGTAATCAACAATCAACTAAATGTAACCAAAAGATATATATAGTTTTTAAATTTGCAGCTGTCAGGTTAGCAAACTGAAAATATCACATCTATATATTATGGTTAAAAAATTATTAACTTATTGTCTTATTTTAGAATAAGAATTAAATACAGCAGATGCTAAGTGAGTATAAAATGAACCCTTGACATTCAAAAAGCTCTTTGAGAGAGTATGAGCAAAAAAAATAAACAAAAATGTATTTGTATTGAGAAGACTTAAAGAAAAAATACACGAGCTGTCAAAGTTTGACATTCAGAGCATCAATAAATAATCAATCAATATATATTATAAAGGTAAGTGTACAATGTGCATGCTGCTAAACCTCAAAAACAAGTCCCAGTACGATCAAGGGAGTTATGTGGTGTAGTAGCCCTCTATCCCCTATCCATGAAGAAGGTTCCTGTTTTTACCTGAAGGGCGTGCTGTTTAAGATATAAGGGCTGGAAGTTTCGCCCCTAGAAATTTCTAGAACAGTCCAGAACATTCAAGAGCACTCCACAACATTCCAGAATGTTCCGGGATGTTCTGGAACATTCCAGATCATTGTGGAACATTCCAGAACACTCTCGAATGTTATGGAATATTCTGGAACATTGTGGATCATTCAAAGCCTGTTTTATATGGGTGGGACTACCCATTGGTGGGGGTATATAAAGCAAGATCCGTCGTGGATTCAAACATCAGTTTCTTATCAGTGACGAAGGGAAGAACCGAAAAAGAGGTGAAAATTCCAAAGTAGTGCAGTGAGTGAATAAAAACAAACAGTGAAGTGTGAGTAGTCAAAGTGATACAGTGACTGAATATAAATCAAAAATAAAGTGTGAAAACTGTGTAAAATGTACTTAGTGTATTTGTTAATAAAAAGTTGATTTGATTTATATTTTATACAATGCCCAAACTTAAAAAAGGAGGAGCTCTTGCCAGTTCTGAATTTTCTTTTGAAAATTAAAGTTGATATCGTCGACAATATTATTTTTAGTTGCCAAAATTGCCCTTAGAAATAGCCACTCCGAATAATAATAATAAGCGCAGAGCCCAAATAGTTAGGAGTTGAAAGTTGAAATTTGGTACACAGTTAGGGTGCGTCATGAGAATGTACACTAGGGATGCAACTATGCAGATGCAAGCAAGCGAACTTTCCGAGCAAGCGAAAATAAGTGGCAAGAAGAGGCGAGACGCGATAAATATCAAAACCTGTCAGATATGTGCAAGAACCAGAAATTCGCTCTCGCTAGCATTATTTCTTGCTTCTCGTTTGTGCATGGTTTTCCTTTGCGAAAACTAAATTGCTCGCCACCTCTCACTCGCTCTAAATTCGCATCTGCATAGTCGCACCCTAAGAACAGATTTTTCAAAATTTCCCCGCGGGAGAGAGAGACAGGATTAAGGCTTCCCATGAAGAACTCAGCTTCTATTATACTATTTTAGATGCGGTTTTTTGCATTTTTGATTATGTTTTAATAGGGTACATCATGAGAATGTACACTAAAAAGGGATTTTTCGAAATTCTCCCTGCGGGGGAAGGGTTAACAATAAAGTGTTAACAATGGAAGTGGTTAAGTAACAATTGAAGGGTTAAGAGAAAGCAACATGCAAGATTTACAGGCACAGATGTGGTTTTTTGCATTTTTGCAAGAAATTGAACATATTTTTAGACCCATCTAAAAAATTTTCTAATTAGTCTGGAAACAGAGAAACCTAATTCACACATTCTGAAAAAACAGGTAAGATTGGCTATAATGTAATAATCTTAATCTTCACCATCATTACTTTTTGCCTGCGCAACGCCGGGCTTATCTGCTAGTCATAAATATATGCTGCTTGGGTATAATTTGTACTCATTTAATAAATGAAAGGTTAATCAAAGACAATTTATATCATGTCAAATGAACATTAAAATGCCATTAATTGAAAAACCATATTAAATTCCAGAAACATTAGTCAAACAGGATGTTCATTAAAAATATGTACTGTATATCTGATCTTAAAATGGTAGAAATGTGAAGGAATTATAATTCACTTTCAAATCTTGTTGTAATATACAAAATGAATAAATTCCACCTCAAAAGCCTCTCACAAAGACAAACTGATACATTTTCAATTTGTCTTTGTGAGAAATAAATTAACTTATTCAAATACATTATAACTTGGGTTCCATTTATGACAATTCCATTTACAACAATTTCTGCAGGAACATAACCACATCAGAAATTGGAAGTTGCCTACAGAATAATAAATGAAAGAGGAGAGATAATAAGAAATTTGAAAAATTAAGATATTTTAAAGTTATAATCTAATCAGTGGAAGACATAATTGATGTATCTGTAGATTGTAACAAAACTCTACAGATGCATCAGGATGGATCTGTAGAGCTCTGTAACAGTCTTCAAAAATATAATGGATTTATTGTTCCAGATGAGCAACGAATGCTCAGATGGAGCAATAAATCCATTATATTTTAGAAGACTGTAACAGAACTGTATAATAGACTATCCCACCATATCAAACATATATATTACTGAATGAGAAGGTTCAACATCATACTATTGATTCTATCCTTTAATCTCTACTTGAATTTTGTAATTTCTCAATTTGGTAAATGATAGCATTGTCATTTGTATATCTTTATGCAAACTACTTTTCCATTTTTATAAAAATCAGATTAATCCTTTTAGGTATTACAATTTTTCTTCCCTGTAATATATATTTAACAAATTAAAGGTATGATTACTATTTAAAAAAAAACAATACTCTCGTCAATCATCAAATATTTGTCAGAACTCTGATCTCTTTCTCTCTCTCTCACAGAAAACAGATCTATGCATATGCATATTCAAAAAAGTACATTAATGAGAGTTGTAAACCATAGAAAATAAACACAAAAATTGCATTCTAAAATAAATTTGATCTATGTTTTAGTCATTGGTCATGCATTTTTCAATGTAAAGAGTAAAGTCTCCCTAAAGCCAGCTACACACTTATCAGTATACCCAAACATGTGGATGACAGAACTGTCAGTTTTTCCATCCACCTGTTAAGGTATAGCCTTACTGGATAGGTGTGCCTATCAGGCATACCAATACATGTTTAAGCATGCAAAATGTTTGTCAATTCTTGAATGAAAGCAAGGAAAAATCAGCTGACATCATCTTGATAAAAATTCTGACTACATACATTTGCAATTACTTGAAGCATTTCATTAAATGATCTTCTAAAAAATAAATTCAATCATCATCAATACTCTGTTAAATATTTTAAAATATCTAACAGCATTACATATTTCAAAGATATGCCATATATACACAAACACAATTTAAAATTAAAATACAGACCTGGTACTTGACCCACATCATCATCAAAAAAATCACTATAATCCAGATGTGGTTTTTCCAAAGTTTCATCCCATCGTTTAGGTCTATGAAAGTAAAATATTATTATATTTATGTCTGATAAAATAATGCATAACAAAATATAAAAGTTCATTTAATTAAAAGTATAAAAAAAAATCATATCAGAAAGATTAATGTCAAACATATCAAACAATCAAAATTATTTCTCAAAGGAATTACATTTGCATTAATCTACTAAGTATTTGATTATCATAAAATCAATTTCATTTTATTAATTAAAAAAACAAGTTTAAATTTCATTATTATTTTCTATCTCTGATTAGTTTTACTTTACAGCTGATATTGAATCCTTTTATATGCAGTTTTGATAGCTTGCTAGATGTTTTAAAATTATGCATTATAGATATTTAAAAAAGCATAAATCAAACAATCATCTTAAATAATCGGGCAATGTTTGATATACTTAGATATTTATTTATTTTCCTTGCATTATTCCTAATATAATATTAATTTNCTTTCAAGTAATTATAATAATGAATAATTCACTTTTTATATTTTCAGATATGGATACTTTTAACATTTGTTACATATTTTTGCAAGTTTGTTTAATCATAAACATGTATAATTTTTTAATTTATTTCAACAAATTCAAAACTGGCTATTCTTCTAATAAATTAGCAAATAATTTAACTTAAAGCATCTTTCATCCAGATCTGGGTTGTATTTTAATTATTTCTAATATTTTGGAAGTATTTGGAGTTTTATTTGAAACACTTCAGCTAGAAGGTTAAAGTAATTGAATTTCAAACTGGTATTTAAACAGCTGTTTAATATATTGTTATTAAGTTATATCATTCTATGATATATTCAGAATATTTAACAAATTATTTATAACTACATATTAATATCATTTATAATTCTCACAAAAAAACTACATAAATCAATAATTCAACTTACAGGAAGAGCTGTTAATTTATTTCTTGACAAATTTAATGTTTCTAAATTTTTCCAATTATCTAAATTAAACAGAAAAAATTAAATATTAAAATATAGTTTATATTAAAAGTTTTTTAAATTCAGAATTTAATATTCAAATTGTTTCCTTTCAAAAGTCATTAGTTCAAATGTTTAAAAAAAAAATTAGTTCTTTATAGCTAATATAAAACTCTTGATAATGTTTAAAAAATCAATACAGTGGCAAACATATTTCAAATTTCACTCATTCTAGGAGGCCATTCAAACTCTGAATTGTTTGAAGTGCAGATCCATTTTTACCATTAAAAATAATGAAAAGTGAATTAATTTGTTCCCTGACCTTAAACAATACCCATTTTTGATAAATTTAAACAGCCTAATACACATAAGGTAAATATAACACAATTAAATGCAATTAAACAAGAAATTAAAATATAAAAATAATAAATAAAATAAGTAAGTACTGTATAAAATAAAATGTAATAAAATGAAAATTGCATTTACTAGTTTTGGCAACTTAAACATGGCCACCAGATCTGCCACAATTGTACCACTTTCCTGTTTTCCAATAAGTTCCTTTTTCACTTCAATCATTGATACAACAACTTTCCTCTTAGGCTCCATTGCTTTCATACTTTTCTGAGTGCAATGGATAATAGATAGGAGTTATATATATAACTAAACATTACAAAAAAAACTGAAAACACAAAAGCATGACACAAGAGATGCTTTCACAACAAGAGAAGAGCAAGAGAAAATTTGGGTGTACAACAGATGGCATTTACACAGTGAGTGCATTTTTTCATTGCACACACAGTTCGAACACAGAAGCATCATTCAAACTCCACACTGAATTTCTCTCAAATTTAGCATTCAAACTCTGGAATGTTTGAAATTAGTCATTCGAAATACAAGATACCACTGTTTATATTACATTTATTATTATTTATAAATTTGTTTTGTTATTCTTTTTAGATGGAGCTTTCAAATATTGTAATAAAATTTTTTCTGTAGTTTTTTTTACAATGTTTATAAAATTAAAGCTAGCATAAAAGTTCTTTAATATACATCTACTAGCTTTAATTTTTCAAACAGTATTACATATATTTCATATTCATTTATTTATATATTTATTTAAACAAAGTAGTAAAAAAAATAATGAACAAATAAGTATGAAACACACAAACCAGGATGAAAAATTTTATAAGAATATCTCAACTTAGTTCTTTATCCATTTTAATAAATTATAACTGGTTAATATAAATATTCAAGAATAATCAAGTTATTTACCAGCAATGGGATTATTGAAATAAACATTTTTGTTCTTCAGTGATCATCGTCAGCTTACAAATTAATCAAACAGTTTAAATTAAAAGAACAATTTGAACAATTCCAACTTAAAAATATTCTGATACCATAACTGACATTTATACTTGAATTTAATCTTGATTCTCTACATTAAATTTTTAATTAAATTAAATTTAAAACATTATCAAAGTATTGTATGTAGTATATTTCCACTTTATGACCATTTAAGAATTGCACTTTTACAACTGATATGATTTAATTTACTCTATGAATGTATAAACTATAATAATCCTTGCCATATGATATTACATGTAGGCCTTCTACAACGTGGTACCTTTACAACGCGTTTTCACTCCAACGCGTTTGGAAAAATGCAGAAATTTTCTTACAACACGGTACTTTTACAACGCGTGTTTACGGTATTTAGAAACGAATTATCTTCACATAACAGAAAAATCACAATGGATCACATGATACGAGCTGCAGTTCAGCATACTGAGCTAAAAGTCTTTGAAAACAGCTGTTTGTGGACGTTGGCGTGTTATTCCCTTGAAAGTTTCAGGGAAAGACCGGTTTCTAGACAGATGTGCATCAGTTACCATAAACACTCAAATATATCACTAAATTTTCGATCATTTATACTCTTTCAATAAGTGGGGACCGCAAAATGGTCCAAAATACAGTATAAACTTCTATTGAGTATATATTTTTAACAACATAGCGAAAGGAAGTTATTTTTTGTGATTTTTACTGTCCACAAAACTGATTGAAAAAATTTTAGCCATAACAATGCCGAATGAAAAGAAAGAACCGTCATTAAAAAGGAAATTTATAACTCTTCAAACAAAGATAGAAATTTTGGATTGAATTAAATATCAAGAGCAGATAGCTGATATCGGTAGGCATTTTAATTTAAATGAGTCGACGATTCGGTCAGGAGAAAAGATCAGAAATTTGGTTGCATCCGGATCATCTATTCTTGTGAAAAATGTTGCTCGTCCAAGAGCACCTATAATGGAAAAAATGAAACAAGCGCTAATATTATGGGTAGAAGATATGAACAAGAAACGGTTACCTTTAAATAAAACTGCACTTAAACACAAAGCCTTAAAAATATTTGATTATTTAAAACAAATGGGACAGTCGTCGGCTGATGAAATCAGTGTTAAATTTGTGGCTAGCAACGGCTGGTTTGAAAAATTCAAAAAACGCCATTCAAATGCCAAGTTTTTCTCTTTTTAGAACCGAATCCCAATTTTTGTATTAAATTGGTGTCTCCTATAACGCGATTTCTCACAACGCGGTATTTTCAAGGAACATATCTACCGCATTGTAAGAGGCCTACCTGTATATGGTCAAACTGTATTTTCAGAAACGTAACCTGAATTTATGACACAGTCCATGAAAATTATTATAGAATGCTTAGCAATTTTTTGCAGAAAACAATTAGTTTATAAAATTAAATGATGTTGTTTTTACAGTTTAATTAGTTTATCATTTAAAAAAATTGATTATGTACATTTATTCTACAGTAAGTGAAAATATACAAGATTACATAGAATTGTAACCTGATAATTATATTAGTCTATGTAATTTTGCATTGTAAAATATGAACATACATTCATCATCTATCATTTTTCCCTTATTTTTTATCTTAAATATATACTGACTGTTGTATTTATATGAATATTCCAAGACAATTAAGAAATCAAAGTTATATATTATTTTGAAATGTTACAAAGTATATAAATTCAAAAAAAACACATCTTACTAAATTATATAATTAAATAAAAAATCTTGATAAAAAAATATGACAGAAAACAATTACAAAGAAAATTAATACCTAATATAATCTAGTGACAAAGGCATTCTTCCTATCTAATAACTTCCCCCAATAAAAAACACTCCTTTTTTACCTTAATCCTATCACTTCTTTAAAATTGTTATTATTTCTTTATACCCTTTCCTCATTTTGAAGCAGTTTTGTGGCAAGTATCCAGTAAGCAATTACTCAAGAAGGAATTTACTGTAAAATATTACAAATACAGGAAACACTCAATGTTAACAACAGAAAACAATTACTTTTGTTTTAATAATAAACTTTTTCTTACTTATTTCAGAACAATACCGTAATGATATTTCATAATAAATAATACACTCACGTCCATAATTTAAGGAATTCATGATTACACATATTAGCCACTGCTGCAAAGGAACAAACTGCAAGTAGAAATGTTTTGTGGCAACTTCTGAAGGGAATGATGTAGGTGTGTGTAAATTTAATGATAATGGAATTGGTGTAAAAGCATTTTCTATCCGTTCAGGCAATTAGTGTTGTAAGAGGTCATTATTGTATTGCATGTGAAAATGTCATTAACATTATTTGTACACAAATATAATAAACGCAAGATAGCACAGGAAATATAAAATTGACATACAGCATTCTCTGATGTACTGTACATATAGTACTGTTGTGAGAATTAAGATTATATTAGAGAACATTTTAATGTTTAAAATGTTTTAGAAAATTAATTTAGCTTAAAATATTATTTTATTTTCAAGTGAAAAAGAAGGAAAGTTTATCAGAATACATCATCTTTAACTTCCTATGAATTAGGAAGTTGGGGAGTTCCTTCTAAAATGAAACTTTAGGAGGGACCAAAACAAATCGTGGAGAAACCCCATTGGTCCACTGATTTGGTATAAAAGGTGGAGGTCACCTTTTGTCCTTGGCTTTTTGTTATGTACAGCCATGCTTCTAGTCACAGGCTCTAGTTAGCCCTTTGATTCAGTTCAGCCTTATTTTTGGTGCATCAATCCCACCATGAGAAGAATGATATGAGAAGTCACCACAAACACAAAAAAGGGTTCTCACAATACATCCCCAGGTAACAATAATAATTACTGTAAGCTCTCTCTCTCTTATTAATAGTTTGAACCAGGAATTGTTTAAGTAAATCCATACATTCATTTTATTATTTTCTTAGTTAATTAGACATTCATTTGTTATTTTAATCATTTAATTGATATATAGAATTGTAACCTGTTCTTTATATTTTTATATAAATAAATATATTTAATTCCATATTTGTTTAATGCATATTTCCATTTTCAAATCAGTAGCTCCCTCCTCTAAAATACTACTACTTGGACTAAATTTGAATTAAGACTTTCTTATTGCAAGTCAGAACTTGATACAAAATTTTAATTCTAACTGGTGTCAGGCTCCAGACAGAGATTTTGTGATCTCTCAGTCTCCTATCTTAAACTTAGACCATCCTGATTATAGTGAGCATGATCTCACAGCCCTGATCTCACATTGTACTGTTCTTAAATAAATATATTAACTCTTGATTTCAACTAAAAAGTAACTTTTTTAACAATAGGATAGTTTTAATGAAAAGTTACATTTTTAAATTTTCAAATAAACTGCTTTTTCCCCTTGTAATAAAATCAACCATCAACCAAATTTTGAAATAATAAAATCAACCATGGTTGATTTTATTATTTCAAAACTGCATAAAACCACATTATTTTTTCAAAATTGCATAAAAATGGACCACGTAAATAGAGGGATAGGGATACTGTACTCATTAGAAATGAAGGGCAACTGAACCCCACAGCATCAATTGGTATTTTGTTATTTATTCCAATTAATTTAATCCTGACTATCTGGTTCAGAAATAAGTGTGTCAGTCAGTACTTCAGTTTACACTCATAAGATATCTTATGTACACAAAAGAAGCCCCAAATCTATGATCCTGTTAATGGACTCTGTGGATACCACCACACATGGAATAGAAGTGGATAAGAAATCTTTAGTGGAGAGGTAAAACAGTATCTTTATTTTGAAAGTTCCTTGGGTCGTACTCTGGTGTGAGAGACGCGAGACCAGAGACGGTGGTCTCTGGTCTCGCGTCTCTCACAAGCTGGTCGCTGATTGGCTAATCATTTGGATTAGCCAATCAGTGACTAGAGACGGTGACCAGAATATGGCCCCTTATTGTGTTCAAATTTTATAAATGTCAGTGTATACAAATTTTAGCTCATTTTAAACATCACTGGTGTCCAAGTTGATTAATAAACAAAAGGACTGCATAATGTTTAACTAAATACTTATTTACGTGTATAAATGCTAATCTAAACTTAAGCATTTATAGATTGAAAAAATGAAATTTTGCATAATACATTTATTGATTTTTGGTCATTAATATGTTTTATATAATTTTTTACTTAACCAAAAATAGTATAAAATTCCATTTCAGTTTCTGATGTGGCTTCAAAATCCAGTTTTGGTCAGACCTATCTGTCTGTGAAAAATATAGATCCGATACCTGAAAAGTATCGATACCAGTATCAGATACAAGTGATAGTATTGAGTACAAAAGATACTCAGTATCAAAGAAAAGTATTGATATGGCATCAGTATCAGCAGTCAGATTATCAAGATGTCCCTACTTGTGTTAAGTACAAATGGCATTACATGCCCGTGGTAATTTAGACATTATTTTTAACATATGTCATGTGAATCATGCATCAATAATATATTGCAATGTGAAATATGAGGTGTGTTTTTAAAGTAAGTACCGTTTTGAAATATAAAAAAAAACAAGCAAACATTTTTAACGAAATTTTTATTTATGTGAAAGCCCATATTTTACACTACTTTTCTACATAATTCCCATTAATATTGAGACACTTATCGTATCGTGGGACCAGCTTTTGTATTCCATCCTCAAAGAATGTTGCCGCCTGATGAGACAACCACTGCAGAACGGTCGTTTTGACTTCGTCGTGATTGTTATGGCGCTGCCCTGCCAGATGCTTCTTCAAATGCAGAAACAAATGATAGTCACTCGGCGCTAGGTCGGGACTGTATGGAGGGTGGTCTAATTGTTCCCAGCCAAATGATGTGATTAGGTCTTGAGTTTGATTTGCCGTATGTGGACGAGCATTATCGTGGAGCAAAACGACACCCTTGCTCAGTAAGCCCCGCCTTTTGTTTTGTACTGCACGGCGCAGTTTTTTTAAAGTCTCACAGTATGCAGCTGAATTGATCGTTTCACCATGAGGCAAAAAATCAACAAGCAACACTCCGTATCTGTCCCAAAACACCGTGCACATGATTTTCTGAGCAGAAATTGTTTGCTTGAACTTGACTTTCCTTGGAGATGATGAATGTCGCCATTCCATGGATTGTTGCTTTGATTCCGGTGTAACGTAGGCTACCCACGTTTCATCGCCTGTAACAATACGACTTAAAAAATCATCTCCTTCGTCACTGTAGCGCTCAAGAAAAGTCAATGCACTGGCCAAACGTTTGGTTTTGTGCTCCTCCGTCAACATTTTCGGCACCCAACGGGAACACAACTTCCGATAATTTAATCGTCCGGTCACAATTTCATAGAGAACACTTCTTGAAACTGCAGGAAACTCTTTAGATAAAGATGAAATCGTGAATCGTCTGTTCTCTTTCACTCTACAGTCCACTTTTTCAATCAAATCGTCGATAATGACTGAAGGTCGCCCACTTCGTTCCTCATCGTGAATGTTTGTGCGGCCATTACTAAAGGCCCTAACCCATTTTCGTACCATTCCTTCACTCATAACGCTTTCACCATAAACTTCACTGATTTGGCGATGAATTTCAGCCGCTTTCGAGCCTTTAGCACTGAGAAAACGAATAACGGCACGCACTTCGCAGTCGGCGGGATTCTCAATGAGCGGCGGCATTTCAATAACACACAAACAACAGTAAACACAGTCGACTGGCTCCGTAATGGCGTTTGTGGCTTCCCAACAGATGTAGGTACACAGCACGCATGCGCTAAGTGCCGACTGCAGCGCTCCAGCAGCGTTATATTAAAACGGTACTTACTTTAAAAACACGCCTCGTATTTTAAGATAAATATATGAAAATATAACTTTTATCAATAAACAAAAAAATACATTCCTTGTTTCACTCATGGTTTTTTGATTATTGAAAATACTATAGAAATTCATCCAAATTCACGCTCTTTAAATATTACAACATTACAGTGAGTAAAATATAAAAATTAAGAAAAATGCAGACAAATGCATTTTTATGTAAAGTTGTCTCACATAAATCAATTGAATTAAACCTAAAGTTACATTATTTTATTACTATTAAAATTAATAAGCAAAAGAAAAAGTTGTGTATAAAGACTTGATTAATACAAATTACAGTACAATTTTGGTTAGCCAACATTCTGTTTAAAGTAATGGCAGCACAACATATATATGAGATGAATAGTGGACATAATATTTGTAAAATGTTCCCTTATTGCAGCGGAAGAAAGAAAAATAAAAGTAAAAAACCACATACAATTATAGAATTTTAAAATAATACAAATTATTTATTAATTTCAATCATAATATCGTTTAATTCTATGCTTATATCCTATATCATATTAGCATATTAATCATAATTAAAGCCCTAAAATTCCAAAAGTTACATAAATGTTTTAACAAGCAACTCAGAATGACTGAGAGTTTGAATTTAAATTTTTTTCTAAATGTCTTACACATGTATCAAAATTAAATTAATTAATTTACAAAACTGATAAATTATAACTATTAATATCTTAATTCTACTATGAAATTTTTGGCATGTTATTTGGTAATATTTTGTATTTAACTGAATTTTAATATTGTTTTCTTACAGTATCACTATAACTGTAGCAAAATTAAAACTATCTTATAATAAGACAATAATAAAAATACAATGAAACATTTCTTTGTTTTATAAATAAAATTGTTTCAATTATGTAAAAACATTTAAAATAAAAAAATGCAATTTTTTTTGTTTAGCATATTTTAAGTTTCTTAGTTTTTATGAATTTACAATGTTAATATATAAAAATTATTTATAAAAAACCATTTTAAATCTTACCTCCAATTTCAGCAGAAATTTCAGTAATACAATTATCACTTAAATTAAGTCTTTTTAAGTTAACCAAAGTATATAATGCATCTGGGATTCTAGGCAAAGCATTTTGAGAAAAATCCACATCTAAATGAAAATAAAATAATTATAATAATTATTTTTCAAATTTGAAATTAAAAATTTTTCATATAATAATAAAACATTATTTAAATGAAAATGATATTTACAAAACTCTTTGTATTAAAAATATGCAGAATTTATTGCAACTTTATTACAACTACTTTGTACATGAATCATAATTAGAATTATAGATCAAATTTTAATATTTGTTTTTGATGATTCCTTAACCTATTCGATGTTGAAATTTTTATTTGTTGCCTGTGATGCCATGTTGAATTTTCATCGATGTTAAGCCTAAATGTTTTTTTTTTTAAATACTAATCGTGTTTACTGTATCATAAAAAAATATTTTTTTATGTTTCACAAACAAAATATATATATTGAATAATATAAAAACGAAAAAAATTTTATTTTGAAAGTTCGTTTTAATATAAATATTGTGACGCAAAGCGACATCTAGTATCAAAAACATTCCAATGTAAACACGGAAATATCAGGATCGCCCACACAGGTCAATGAGGTCAACCCGAAAATTTTCAGGATCAACATAGGACAGGTTAATGAAATGTGCATCTCTCTCTCTCTCATAACATGTTTTCTCTTATTAAAAAAGAAAAAAATTCAGATGATCTATTATTATTTATTAGAAGTAAATGTAAGTAAATGTTAAAAATCTACATACTTATTAAACAGCAAAACAACAATACTTTTTATATTGTATGTATTATAATGAATGGCAAGCATTCTATAAATTCTAAAATAAAACTTCATAACAACTAATGTTATTAATAGCTTTCAATACTGTTTTCAATAAAACCATTTCATAAGAATGAAACACCTACTGTATAAACTATCTTTATATTTCTTTTTATAAGTTTTACAATTTATTTGAAATTTCTTGCTCAAAAGAATTTTTTTATTTGATATCATCTTTAAAAAATAATAAACTGATTATTCAATTTTCAGCATTTCAAAATTCACAATACTATGAATATTTAATAAATGAATCAAACGAATGTAATTAAATGAATATTCAATAATAGTACATTTGTACATGAATTCCATTTTAAACAAATAAATAAAAGTTTCAAATTCATAATATATCCAATACCTTCACTTAAGTTTAAATTTAAAATAATAATGTTTCCTTATCAAAAAATCAAAAATTTTACCTGATAAATTTGTAATATTATCTAAGGTACATGGAATATTTGAAAGATTTCTTTGAGTATTACGCATATGTAATGTCTGCAAAGAAATTAATGCTGGAAGTTGCCTGAAAAATTTACAAAATAAAACTTAAAATCATTGTACTTGTTTAAAAAATTATTTAAGTTATTACAATCTATATAATTTAAAAACCTCAAATTCTTTTGAATCTTTCATATGATTTGAGAATAGTTTGATACATATATTACTTATATATTAATTTTTATAAACAGATATAGTTTTAAAAGTTATATAACTGGTGAAAAATTGAATTTTGATTTCAAAAGAAATTAAAGTATCATTTTATTTATAGACAAAACCTCAATGTCTCTGTATTCATTTAGAAATAAACTAATTTTGGAATGGTGTTAATCTTGAAATGAATAAATGTGATTAATAGATGTTTGGTATTTTCATTTGTCAGGATTCATTTTTTTGTGAGATCTGAACAGTCAGGGAAGGATCGTTTTAATTAAAATAAGTTAGAGAAAAGAATTAAAATAACACAAAATTATATTTTCAACTTCAACAAGATTTTATCTAAAAAACAGAGGAAACATCAGATTTTTGAAAGGAAGTTGATTTCCTTTCCCAGGCTAACTCAGGATGAGTCAGTTTTTGCAACTTTACGAAAGACCAAATAAAAGGGCCGTTTTCCCGCCTTTCAAGGCAGTCCGTCGAAGGAAGTTTGATATACGAAATAAGTCCAACATTCAGTAAGAAGCAGTCCGTCAAGGAAAGAGTTTGCCATACGGAAGAATCTGAAATATGTTAAGAGGCAGTCCATTAAGAAGAGGTATTGCCATACAAAGAGAATACGAAACAAGTGATCGTCATACCAGACCGATAAGGCCATACGAGACCGAATTAATTGAAGTATAAGTATACAACAAGATTGTCAAAGGAGAAAGATAAAAGAACCTCCATTCAAATAGAAGAAGAGAAATATTTAAAAACGACAGAAGATCCTCATACAGAAACAGATACGAAAAATACAGTGAAGGTAATATGAGCTCTAAATAGATCGATGTAAACTCTCTCGCATGTTAGATAGAAATAAGATAGTTTAAGTTAAATTTAGATATAGGTTAGATTCACTGTTGTATATTTTTATTATTTGATTTATTAAATATTTTGATTTGTTTTATAAAATGGCTTGATTCTTATTAGACATTCATTTTCATTCAAGTTACCTTAGATCCTCCGAATTCAAGGATAACACATGTTAATCCGCGTTTAAAATAATTGATTAACTGGTGTCAAGGAATCCTGACATAGATCTAGACTTCACAGTCCAGATCGTTTTGAAACATAATTAACAGCTCTCCTAGAAAAAGATTAGAGATCGAATCTCGCAATTCTGAGTTGTGTAAGTGGTACTCTTGGTTAGTATCCTCGGCTAATCTCACTTTTTTTTTTTAAAAAACAACAGTTTGGAACAAACTATGTAAAGCATAATACAATTTCAGAATGTGATCTTATGGTAAATCAACAAATAAACAGTATGAACTGGAAAGAGGCCATATGCTTTTAATAAATTTGAGAAGAGAATGAAGAGTATTACAGATTAATTAAAAAAGAAAATTAGGGAAGACAGTCCCAAAGTACATTTTTGATATTTTATGCAAGTTCCAAATTAATATTTATTCAAACTTTAAATTCAAGTAATCTATTATCAAAATTGTATAAAAATGTTAATAAACATATCATTTTATTAATTTTCTTGATTAATAGCTCAAAGAATTGTGGATTATGAAGCAGAAAATAAGTAGAACTATCTTCTACTTATCCAAAAACAAAAAGAGAATGGATGTAGATCATGAGTAATGTGCAAAATATTATGCATTAAACCAATATAGCATATTTTCTCTTCTCTTTTCCATTCTTACCATATAAAGTACAAATCAGTCTTTAACACTGCACTGATTTGCATCTTTATCTTCAGTGGTTCCAGAAACTGTGCAAACTAAAACTAGAACAGATGTCACATTAATTAGTAGGGGAGACTATCCATATTTTGATGAGATTACTTATTCTTTTTTTCTTTTATAGGTGGCTGTATCTATTGTTTATTTATAATGATGTTTTTGTTTGGATAGTTCTCCATGATTTTATTTTGTTATATGTTTTGTTTTGTTATATATTTATATTTGGATATGTTGTTTAAATATATATTTTGGTATTTATAATAATATTTGTATAATTTGTTTGTTTTATTTATGTAAATGTTAATTTTCTCTGTAATAACGGAAGGATTGTAATATATTTCGATGTGTCATGTATATGACAATTATTTTTTGTATTCCCTGCATCATGGGTTTTACCCAGTATGGCTAAATAAATTAAATTAAATTAGTATCATTAATAAATATTAGTTAACTGATTAATGAGACTATTTTTTCTTGAATTAGTTAAGTTTTTCTTGACACCCAAAAAATTGTTTCAGTGGACAACAGAATTTATATCCATTTTTGTTTGATTATACTTTGTTGTTTCTGAAATATGAATTGGCAGTACTAATAATAATCCTTGTGGATAATCTAAACAATTTGAACACTTGTCAATATCCTCATTATAATATTTAATTACAAAACGATTTATTCTTATTTATTTATTTATTTATTTATTTTAAAAAATTATCTAATTTTTAAAAATTTTTTTTATAACATTCTTTACTAATTTTTAATATATAAACATTAAAATAAGGAAGATACATGAACTGGAAGATTGGAAAAACACAAATTAGACTAGACAACTCCATGAAATGTCAGAAGAAAATGTAACACTAAAATGAATTAAGAAGTCTACTCTCTATTTTTATATTTAAATATTTTTCAGGACTCCATTATCAGAGTCCATGAGAAATGATGGTGGATTCCTAGATTCTGATGATGAGACATGTAGTCTTGAAAAATGTGTAAATCTGAATAACGAGTGGATTCCTTAATCAATTCTAGCACTGAAACACTGCTGTATGAAAAGGAAGAAACTTCAGGAAGTTAAATCAAATAAAGTTTAGAAAACTTTGAAAAGTGAAAAAAATTTCAATCTAGTCTTAAGGTATGATGGCTAAAATAATAAGCTACAATTTAGCCATACTGTCAAGATAACTACTTAATCAACATCTTGAATAGAAGATAAACCAAGAGTGGAATGTTCCAAAGTTAAAATAAATCAATATATATATTATTACTAACATTAAACATTGTTATAATTTATTTGATATTTTAATATATAGGTAACTATTAATAATAAATTTGGAAAGATTGAAAAATTAGAAATTGTAATTTAAAAAAAATAATTTTCACACAATAAAAGTAAAAATAAATATTGTTCCATTAATCTTACCTTAATTGATTATGTCCAAGAGGATTATTATTAAGTATTAGTGTTTGCAAATTGACTAGTCGTCTCATCTGGGGAGGAAGAGTTTCTGAAACAAAAATTATATTTTAGATTATTTAAAAGTACTTTCAAGCTAATTTTTATTAACACATTTGCACAAATACAATGTGTACCACTGATGGCTCATTTGCATCTTTAATCTTAGCCATTGTGCTCCATACAGTTGCTATCACTACAGTAAAATAATGTAATGCTGCTTAGCTGGATTACATTTTCATATTATGAGTTTATCTTTGGTAACCAGCTGGACAAAGTATCTTTATTAATAAACCAGGACATCTAGATATTAAAAATCATATAAATAGTTATAAAAATTGTAACTTGTATGATTTTTATAACTATATGATAGTTTAATGCCTAAATGTTCTAGCCTTAATCAGGTATCATTTTTAAAGTTAAAAACACTTTTTTGAATGATACAAATATATGAAGTAGAAATATTCTTAATGCACTTATGTGGTAAAAAATAAAATTTGTTATACTTTAAATGATTTATTGAAAAGAACAAGCAAAAAATTATAAAATTGGACATTCCCAATAAAATTGAAACTACTTTTCTTTAAAAAAATAATTTATTCTTCACGTTAAGAATTCATTTTTAAGAGAAAATAATTCTCTTTGGAAACACATTTAATATTATTGACAAATAATTTTAAAAAGGCAAGCATAAAATAAGTAAACATTTAGCTGAATCTTTTTGTTGATTTTACTGGAACTGCATTTGCAAGTTGATGTGAAGATTTTGATAATGTTCTACTAGATATGGAGTGTCTTTGAATTCAGTTATTTTGATTTCTAACTAAAAACCAAAATTACTACCTCTTGAAACTGCTGCATATATTTGTTTTCTACAATCACAGCATAAATAACGCATGTCGGCAATGCTTCTTTCAAGAATAAATTCAAAAAAATTTCTTTTTGCATGAGCCATTAGTAGTACACAATTGGCAAAATGTAAGCAGTATAATAATTATCCATCATGTACCATCTGTGGACACAAACAAAGAAAACCATTGTTTTAATCTAATTCACCATAAATAGTTCTCTACAAAATACCTACTACTCTAAAACCAATTTTAAATACACAAAATATTGTATAGGTTTCAAATGATTGTCATGTATTAAGAAAAAATTCTTTATATAACAAACATGTTAAAAAAACTTCTATACAAAAAGTTTTCATTTTATTAATTTAATTATTTAAAAGATTTAAATAGCAACTCAATACTTTTCAAATTTATGTATAAAAAATTACTATTAATTATTAGAAACAAATATTTTAAAATACATTTAGATATCAAATAAATAAATCATAAAAACTTAAGCTGCTATGATATTATAACTATTAAATATCAGTAATATCAATAAAATATTTGTAAAATTATTTAACTTCTCACATTACATCACATAAAAATATTTAACAATAAAATATTTGCAGTAAAACTTTATAATATCTAATAATTACATATAAACTAAGCTAAACATATAGTCACTATAATATAGCAAACAAGATATTACACAATTTGAACAAAAGATATAGTTGAACCTCCAATTTAATGATCAGAAGTAAATTCATTCAGAATTTTCTGGAAAAAAATTGATCCAGATTGGAACTCAAATCTGCAACTTTTGCTTACTGTGCAGATGCAATGACAATTACACTACCCAGATCACTGTCTAATCTTAATTTAGAAGATATAACTGAGATTTTGAACACCCCCTTTATTAATTGGAAATTGATGACAAATCCATAAATGTTAGATATAATATTTCTAATTTTAATAGAAAAATTTTAAGCTAAAAACTAAGGAAACTGGTAAAATTCACTTCCTTCTCAACGAAAGTTCTACATTCTTTTTGTTTTCCCTTAAATTTTGAGTCACATACAGTCCATATACCCCTCGTAAACCCCACTCTTCCTAAACATGTGGGAAGAATACAATTTTCTTATTGGAGAAAAACATCAAAAAAAAGGGGATTCTTTAGTATTATTCTGGGAATACACCACAAAATTCCATAGGAGAAGGAGGTATTCCATACCCACTCCTCATGGCCAATGCCCATAACCAACTCCCAAAGTACATACAAGGTTTATTTCTAAGTTCCCAAGTTAAAGAAAATATTTATTGAAGTGCCGACCAAGAAGTAATAAGTGACCAGAACGGAAACAAGAGAAGAAATAGTGAAATAACGAACATTCACATCAATCTACATACAGAATAATATATAATGAGGTAGTATGTTTAACTTGAAATGTGATCTCTCTCTCCGCAATATCATAATCAGCTATTGAAGGTCCAATTTGTATATTTTTCCTTTTCTTCATTAAATATTCGATATTTTTATATTAAAGAAATGTCTCATTATGTCGGAATCAAAAGATCTCATCCTCTCCATATTGATTCGTAAATGCATGTTAATCCACGTGAAATAAATTTGATTAACTGGTGTCAAGGATCCTGACGTGATCTAGAACTTACCATCAAGATCTTTTTAACATTATAAATAAAAGACCTTCTTCAAAATTTAGAGATCGAATCTCATGATTCTGAGTTGATTAAGTGGTACTCCCGTTTAGTACTCCCAGCTAATCTCACATAACCATATAGAATAGTATATAATTACTATTGATTATAATACATGTATCCTGTTGACTTATAACTATTAGCAAGTGACTTGTATGGTTTTATCTTCCAAATTAGCCAGTCTGAAAGCAAAGATCCAATATAGGTTCAGATTTTGTTAACTTTATAATTCTGTAAATAAATTTTTTGTGTCATTTTGTTATTTTGTTGCAAATGGACCTCCCATTAAAAATTATACTTTATAATTATTATTCACATGGATTCTGTTTGCATTATACTGTGTATAAATTCACTATAAAATTTTATTTTGTATAATTACATATTAAGTTTGAAAAAGCAAACTGTCCAAAAGCTAAAGACTGCCTACATTTTATTTCATTTCTACATATAAATAATTATTTGGTAAAGATTTTGTACTTACCTAATCTATTATTGCTTAGATCTAAATAAAGTAAATCTGTTAAACTGACAAATAATTGGTTGGGAATAGATTCAATACTGAAAAATAAAAACAATTAGTAAATTAAGATTCATATAATTTAAGTTCTAAAAATATATTTAGTTAAATGTACAGTACATAAATCAAAGTAATCTTATAAAATGAAATCATTCCCATTATTTAGAAAAAAAATTTTGCAAGCATTGTTAGAAAAAAAATCACTTTTGATATAAAATTTAGTAAAAAAATTTGTTCAAATGATTGTCTTATTTGATGATTACTTTGGGTCTTTTCCATTTGATGATCCATTCCACACTGCTTCTTTTTATCACTATTTTCTTTGCATCATTTTTTTACCTATTTTTCTGCATTTTCATTATGTTTCTCATACTTTTATACTTAATTAACTAGACTATATCTGATTACCACTCTCATCTTCAAATGTTTTGTTTGTGATCACTAGAACTAGGACATCCAGACAAAGATCCTAACTTATATGAATTTTATGCCTAGATGTCCTAGCTTTCAAACTTATAACACACAATGTAGATTCAATGTCATAATTAACATTATTATTATTCAATAAGATATTTCTGACTTTCTACTCCATGGTTCTTTAACAAGTTGGCCATCAATTCTTTGAGCAGAAATTAGTTGATTCTATAATTTAAGTATTGAAATTCAACAAATAGACATTTATTAACATATACAGTGGTACCTCAGTATACGTCTGCTTTAGAATACGTCCAATTCGGAATATATCCTGTTTGGACAAAACAAATTTTGCTCGGTATACGACTTTTGTTCGGTATACAACATAATTCAATTATACGCGCCATCAATGAACAAGTAGCACTATCGGTATACTAGACCAGACTAGACGTTCGCGGTGCAACGGTTTATAACTTTGTTAAATTTCTTCTGATTTTAATTCGTAAATAAAATTTTATTATTTTTATTAATCACGAATCGCAAAAAGGCAAATGAAAAGCGACAGAAAACTAAAAAAATGACTAGAATTACAATGGAACTGATGAAAGAGATTGTTGAGAAATACGAAGGTGGCA